CAGGGTATATCCAACTATGTACATAAGTGGGTGGGATTTGGACCAGATTAGATTTACTCTGAACACCTCACCAAGTAGGAAAACTGATTTATCACATGCACAGAACGCAATTCAAGATCAGGAATTCAATGTGAGAAAAAGCTGGGAAGCGCACACGCACTAGCCTTTGCAGTTAGTAAGCTACAACTAGTCAAGATTTTTTTTTTAATCCTCACCTGAGGATATTTTTTCCATTGCTTTTCAGAGTGGGGTGGGGGGCGAGAAACATCCATGTGAGAGAGACACATCAATTGGTTGCCTCCTGCACTCGCCTGATGGGGGTGGGGAGATCTAGCCTGCAACTGAGTTAAGTGCCCTTGGCCAGAATTGAACCTGGGACCCTTCATTCTGGGGGCTGGCTCTCTAACCACTAAGCCAAACCTGTTAGGGCCAACTAGTCAATATTTTTGAGAAGACAGTTGAGCTTTCCCGTGCAATCAGTCACTGATCGATCCTAGTAGCAACCAAGAAGAGGCTGAAGTGACCTCCATGTTGGGTCACTTTGCTTACCAGTGTCACAGAACAGGAAAGGCAATATCATGAATTTTCTTTCAATTCATGTTGCAAATTAACACACATTTTGGAGATCTCAATTCCCCACTACTGTAACCTCCATGTGATCCTCACCATGATTGTCTCTCCAATTATCTCCTCAGTCCCTGGCTAAAGCTGCTGAATGACTAAAATACTGGCCAGGCTGCCCTAGCTGGTTTGGTTCAGCAGTCAAGCGGGCCTGCGGACTAAAGGGTCTGGGGTTCTATTCCAGCCAAGGGCACATACCTCGGTTGCAGGCTCAATCCCCAGCCCTGGTGTGGGTGCATGAGGGAGGCAACCAATCAATGTGTCTCTCTCACATTGATGCTTCTCTCTCTCACCCTTCTACTCTCTCTGAAAAGCAAAGGAAAAAATAAAAATATCCTCAGTTGAGGATTAAAAAACAAAGTAATAAAATACTGGTCAGGTCTGTGTGTCTCCTTTAGGGACTGACTGACTTTGGGCCATCTGCTCATACTGAGTGTCTATCGGCGGGCAGATTAAGGAAGATCAAGTCAACACAGGGTGTGAGTACCTGGGATACGCGCCCATAGCTCTAATCTCTCCACTCCCTTCCTATACACAAACACTCGCACCTATCCCGACCACACGGGAACCCGCCCTCACTCAGACATCTTGGAAGGGATTCCACACCCCGCTCCCGGCCAGCACCGCGAGGCGCTTCGTCCCACAGATCTTAGTCACTCCCTCCGGTCAGGTTGGGATCCTGGTTTCTGAATTTTTACCAAGCATTTGGATGACTTAGTACGAGGCTCACTGAGGGACCCGAACCATAATAAAAGCATGTATCATAAAATAACCTGAATTCAAGTTAGGATTCCCTTACGAAGAGTGGCCCGGGCCCTCCAAAGGCAGCCGCACGGAAACCACGGTTTTTTCCGCGCCCTCCGCGTCCCTCACAGGGCGGCCCCGACTCCCCCGCTCACCTGGAACCGCGGCTCTGGGCAACTCCGTGAGGCCGGGGTTTGACGACACTCGCCTTGGCTTTACCTCATACAAATGTTCCGGTTCCTAACCCCTCACGGGCCAGATCTGGATTTCTAAAATTTTAAACAGCATTTGGGTGACAAGACTCCGAGAGGGGCCTCGGACACATAACAAACCGCATGTGTTTTAAAATAAGCCAAACCCGAGTTCGGAGCCCCTTCGGAGGTGTCCGTCTCTCCGCGGGCACCGAGCAGGCGCTCAGGAACCCACCGCTCTTACCTCACTCCCGCCGCCCGCACCCCCTCGGTCGCGGCTCCCCGCTCACCCGGAGCAGGCGGCTCTCGGCAACGCCGGTCGAAAGGCGGGCCTCCCGCGAAGATCTTTCTAGACAGTCCGGCTCAGGACTGCGTGACCCCCGACGTGACCCTGGCATAGATACCCCGCTGGGAGGGTGGAGCTATTAGGGCCACGCCCACCGAAGCCCGGTGGCTCCTCCCCCGCGGAGGGAGGGGTGGGTCCGGGGAAGAGGCGGGTCAGAGCTTGCTGGTTCGCGGGGCGGACGTCCTGTGATGCAGTCAGGCCAGAAGGGCTGCCGCTGAAATAAATCTGAAAGGCTAAGGGAAACCTGCTCTTTTTCTCACCCAAGAGTGCGCGACTCTGGAGCCCACTGGTTTCACCCTCGGCCAGTCCCAGCTCTGTGCAGTCGGCCCTCTCTCCCCACTCAGGACGTGGCATCCCTTTACCCAGAGCTTTGCCCAGGCAGGTTTTGTCCACGGCAGCTCCTCGCCCGTACACGTTGTTTACTCCCTTATTTACCGGCATTTTTCTTCAAATCCCAGCCTAACTGTCACTTGCTTTGAGCTCTAAAAATCTTGCATCACAATTTATTTTTGGCAGATTACTTATTAGGCAAATTGGTGTTCATATTGATTGCTAATTTACCCACATTCTTTTTAAAATTTATTTTTCAATTACAGTTGCCATCACCCACATTTTTGAAAATTCAAACATTTATTATATGCTACCAATCTATAAAACAGTGAGTCCCATTGAAGCGAAAAGCTAGTACAGAATCATGGTTGATTCTTGTCAATCTCATGTCAAGAGCAGTCACCAAGCAGAGACATAAAGACTGAGTAGTATCCAAGAGGCTTTGCTGCCACATGACTAATGAAATTACTGAAGATTGTTTCAATAGAGCTCTAAGTTCAGGTGTAGGATTGGTTTTGGTTAAAGTGTGAAGAGAAGACCAAGACATTTCTTCAAATCTCCTATTCTAGAAGATTCAGTCAACGTAGAACAATTCTTTCAGTCAGTTCCATCAGGATTCTGTTTTTCCCATGGTGTATTTCTGTATTCTAATCCATTGCAGACAATGGAATTTACCAGCCCCACAGTGAGCCCGTTACAAATGAGATAAATCAACCCTACGGAAGACGTATTTTCTGAAGGAATATATTGGTAGAAACATGAATGTGAAAGGTCCTCTGGTGACTACTGAGATGGAAATGAGAAACATGTTATATGAGATTGAAGAAAAGGTGATTTTTGTTATAGTGACAGAAAACATAGCTGAATTGTGTACTACCATTGTGTGGAAAGTAGAACTTATAAGTGATGAATTTGGATATTTAACTGAGGAGAGTGATCTGTGTCTGGAGACTCCACATTCTCAGTTAATATGCTGTGGTTAACTGAAATTTGAACCAGTGGGGGACTTGGATTACTTAAGTAACTGTGGCAGCTGAATTTTGTATGGATCGGAACCATACAAAGTGTGAACTGCCAGTGTGTGTGTGTTTCTGGTCTAAACATACCTCAGCCGCTCTGCTGGCCTTCACATCACACCAGTCCTTCAAGTACCTCCTGAGCAACTATCTACAGAAGTCTTTCCCAATTGACCTTCCGTCCCACCATTCATTCCATTGTGTTTAGACAATAGTTTCAGTTATTAATTTTCTAATGAATCAGTGAAACTTCGGAAAAACAGTACTTTACATTTCTAACAAATGCAGGTTTTAAAGCCTATTCTGCTTAAGAGGATTATCTCCAATGTTGGGGAAACAATTAAGCCAAAATAATGTAAATTTGTTAATCCCTTTACAAGTTCTAAATGCAGAGTTTTAATTCTAGCAACCGTAATAAATCTAAATTTCACCAAAATCTAATTGGATTCAGTAATTACAGCAAACAGAAGCTTTTCACTTTACATATTCTTGTCTGCTTGTATTCTTACCTAACCCTTGGAGATAATGGGACTTTGCAATTAGTTTTAGAAAATGGAATACAAGAAAATGTGTCAATTCCTGGTATTGGCCTTCGAGTTTTTGTGTGAATCACTCTTTTTTTAGTTGCCACGACCCTTTGCTTTGACATCCAATGACTGAGGGAGTTAGATTCCTGGGTAGGTATTGGAGCAGTGCCCTGGTGACCTACACTGCACTTTAATAAGCACTAGGTTTTGTCTTGATAAGCAACTGAAATTACAACATAGCATGGCTAGTCTGATCAGTGCAGGAGTGTCTCGTACCTCAAAGAAAAATTTCTCAAAAGCCCTGCTGAGCATCTTTTCACATTATAGAGATAGACAAATTGTACAAAGATATGCAAAGTAAAGCTCTATTTCCCAACACTATAAACAATACACATACAGACTTCCAAACAGAAGTATGTTCTAAAATTTTGGCAGTTTCATATGTTAAACATAAGTATATGACATTTGGAGGTTATAAGTAAAAATGACTATAAAATATGGGACAAAAGCAAAAGAATTCAAATTCTCAAAAATTTATATGAAAAATGATTTAAAAAAGAATGTTTCTTATTGAAACTTCTGACTTAGGTCAGTTGAATTTACAACACAGCCTCCTTAGGACTCAGCAAATGCAGCACAAAGCTGAAAGGGACACACTTGCCTAAAGAACCAGAGCCTGTCACAACACAAAACCAGAGGAGAAACCCCTGGTGGGGGTGCTTCACATCTGGATAATCCTGCTCACAATGCCAATGGTGGTGACCAGGTTACATAGTCAAGGTGGAACCCAGCCAAATTCCTTTGAAACCGTAAGGCTGATGATGACTCACCACATTCCAGGAGAGTATGAAAAAGGTTATTACATATAAAATGAGGTTTTAAGGAGAAAGTAGGGTGGATCTCAGAGTAGGTCCCAAAATAACGGAAAGCATGTTGAAAAGCGGCTACCTTGTGGTGTTCATGGTGGTTACTGGGTGCTGCTGGTGGGAGCCTGCTGGCACTACTAGGGGCTTGCTTGGAACTTCCCACCGACACCCAAGGATGGAGCACCTGGACTCTCTCATCAGCTTTCCTAGGTGCAAGGTAAGGGAGGAGAGAACGGTGAGTTCTTAAAGCTTTCAACAATCAAACATCAAAACTGGGATCAGAATCTTTATTATAAGCATTCCTTCCAATAACAAGGGGGAAAAAATAACCACATACTAAATTTCCTCCAAGTCATTCATCATTTGTCTCTGATGATACTGATTGTAAGAGATTCTGAAGCAGGTGCACTAGAGAAATAGGGCATAAGTTTTTCTGTGAACGTATCAGTGAATCTATACAAATATAACCTGTTATTCATATTATAAAATGAAACCTCTCCCAACTCATAGTCCAGGAAAATGCCAATCTGTAGCTGTTCTCTAGGCCATGGGCAGCATGTATTAGTCCAGAGCTGATATTGCCAACATCCATTGCTTGGGGATGGTGATGTGAGAGTGTTTCTGGGGAAAGATTCTTTACACACACCTAAGAAGCACTCACCTGTGCCTCTGACTTCTACCTGCCAAAAATGCCTGCCAGCATCAAATCCCTCAGAACTCAGGACAGCTGGGTAAGAAGTAAATTCCAGGGGATTATGAAGACCATTGGATGTCCTATACGTGACACTTTTTCTATCTCTTGAGGTAATGAGACTTGGATGGGCAGTTTCAGGATTCAGGGTCAAATCTACCTGAAATGTGCTGATCATTGTATGCAGGCCCAGATAATGAGGGGGGAGAGCAAAAATCTTTTTTAATTCATATGTAAAGACTGCTGGGCTCTCTAGGTTTTCATACCTATTGTGGATACTTTCAATACCTGTGAGTAAATCCAGGTCTGTCTGCAAATATTTCTCTGCTATTTCACTTAACAGATTATTTAGCGTGAACATATGGTTTGAAATCTGCCTTCCATTTTCAGTTAGTTTTTCTTCAATATCCTTCTCTTCTATAACTAGGCTGGCATTAACTTCATCCTGCTCTCTTTGCAAGGTACACTTAAGATTTTTACATTCACAGTGCAATTCCCTCCTCCAATTTTCAATCTTTCGCTTCACTTTCAAAGTTTTTGCAAGTTGCTTCTCGCATACCATTTCAGCATCTTCAACATCCACCATCAGGGGCAGAATGTAGCTTTTGAGCTTCCTCCTGTGATGAGCTGCAGCCTCCTCGATGGGCATCAGGGGGTGATCCCTGTGGTCAGAGGAGACCCTGCACTGGGTACACAACAGCTCCAGGTCCTTCTCACAGAACAGGGTAAGAACCTCATGGTGCTTCTCACACAGGGCTTTTTCCTCCTGCAGTTTCCTCTGGCTCTCTAAGGTGGGAATCTGCTTAACAATATCAGTCACATGACACAATTGGGTGTTCCTCCTGAAGTTCCTGTCAAGACAGGGGTGGAGGCAGACAGGACAGGGAAAGAAGTCCTGTAGATCTTCCCAGCGCTGGTGGATGCAGGAGCCACAGAAGTTGTGCCCACACTCAATGGTCACTGGGTCTCTCAGGTACCCCAGGCAGATGGGGCAGCTGGCCTCTGCTTGGAGCTCGGCAAGGGAGGCTGCAGAGTCCATGGTGCAGTGAAGGCGTCTGTCTGAAGAGATTCTCTACAGTCAGTGTGATCCTCCAGGAGCTAGAAAAAGTGAGAAGCTGATGTCTGCCCAGTCCTTGTTCTCTGTGAAAGGCAGTAGGAGCTTCCAAGAAGAGATCGAGCCACTAGATGATGTCCAGTCTTCCTGTCCCCTTCTCCTTCTGTATTTAATACCAGGTTGCACCAAGTGAAGATCAGCTGTGGACTCCTTGTGGTCAAAAACCGAGCACAATCCAAGTCATGTGGTTTCTGTGGACATAAAGATATTGCCATTTAAAAGTTCAATCAGCATTAATCTTTCCATCCCTCTATGAAGAGTGTCAGGTAGATCAAATCATTTATCATGACAATATGTAAGGAAGAGTAAGCAGTAAAGCCTATTTTGCAACTCTAAATGAATTACTCAATCTAGGAAAATCTATCATCAGCCTCAGTCATCACAAAAGTAACCCTGGCAGGGCAGCTCAGTTGGTTAGAGCATTGACCACACGCGTCAAGAATGTAGATTCACTATGGACACAGACAATAGCGTGGGGAAGGCCTGAGGATGGAGTGGATTCAGGGTGGAGGGGGTCATGGGGAGGGGGCAAGACACACAAACACACACACACACACCTGTAATACTTTCATCGATAAAGACAAATTTAAAGATAAATAGATATTTTAAAAAAAGATTGGGGTTTCAGTCCCTCATGACAGCACATCCAAGAATCAAGCAATGAATGTATAAATAAGTAGAACAAATCAATTTTTTCTTCTCTCTCTCCCCCTTCCTCGCACTTTAAAAATCAATAAATAGAAATAAAAGATGTCCCATAAAATGTATACACACTTTGAATAATTATAAAGTCTGTGTCTATTAACGTACTTCATTTTCTAAATTTAAAAGAACCTACAGAAATGAATAAATTTTTTGTCAATGCCTGTTTTCAAACTGGTGACCATTCTGGACAAGGCACTGCTGATAATTGGAACCAATGGAATCTCAAACATCCAAACATCAAGATTCATTTCAGCCCTAGCCAGTGTGTCTCAGTGGTTAGAGCATCAGTTCAAACACTGAAGGGTCCTGGGTTCGATTCAGGTCAAGGGCACATACCTCAGTTTAGGCTGAATCCCAGGCCCTGGTCAGGGCCCATGCAGGAGGCAACCAATGGATGTGTCTCTCTCACATTGGTGTTTCTCTCTCTGTCTCTCCCACTCCCTTCTACTCTCTTAAAATAAATGGAAGAAATATCCTCAGGTGAGGTTTAACCAAGAAAAATATCCTTTCACTCAGTACTTGTGTGCCCTCGATTTGTCTACTGTTGCTGGTTTTATACCGTAAGCTTTATCTTTTTGTATTCCCATAAAAAAGTCTAGTGGATAAATTTTCTTTGTTCAAAGCTTAGTCAGGCTTCACCCATTATTTCACATCAGTTAAACCTGATATGGAGTAAAAATGAAGTGAGTTAATCAGCTGTTAAAGTGTGTATACATTTTTTGGGGACACACTTTGAATAATTATAAAGGCAGTGTTTGTACCTTCAACTGCTTTTCCAAACTCCCAGTAGCATTTTAGTATGAATTTCTTTTGTTCAAAGCTTAGTCTGGCTGAAAAGAAACATCAGTTGAGCTATCAGCTGTTAAAGTGTTTATACATGTTTTGGGTGCTCCTTGTATATATTTTTTTTAAAAAAGAGTGAGCCCTGGCTGGTGTGGCACAGTTGGTTGGACAGGGGTCCCATGCACCAGAAGGTCACGAGTTCAATTCCAGGTGAGGGAACATACCTAGATTTCGGGTTCAATCCCAGTCAGGGCACTTAAGGATGGCAACCAATTAATATATTTCTCACTCTCTTTAAAAAAAAAAAAAAAAAGATGATTAACAAAAAAATGGATATTATAGAACTGTTGAAGGGACTACATAACACCATTTGTGAAGAAGTTTTGCCAGAAAAATGAACCTAAATTTCATCAAGCAGAGATCCAACCACCTATTTACAGGAAACCTAAGGGATGGAGAAACATGTGAAGAATGACCTGGTCCATGTAACGTGTGAACTTGATTGGGCCACAGATAGCTGGGGAAACACAAGTTCTGGGTGTGACTGTGAGGAGACTTCTGGGAGACATTAGTATTTGAATCAATGGCTGAGTTAAGGAGATGGACATACCCAGTGTCAGTGGGCATCATCCAATCCGTTGAGGACCCGAAGAGAACAAAACTTGCGGGAACAATGAATTCACTCTCTGCTGGACTGCATAAGCTAGCACATCCACCTTCTACTCTGGATGCTCCTGGTTCTCAGCCCTTCAGGCCCAGACTGGAATCTGTACCATCTGTTCTCAGACTCTCAGGTCTTTCCTAGGTCTCCTGCTTGCAGATTGCAGATCATGGGACCTCTCAGGCTCCATAACCTTATGAGCCAATACTTTTAATAAATGTCTTTCTAGATACATACTATTGGTTCTGTTTCTCTGATAAACATTAGTAATACATTGAGTAAGTAATCAGTAAAATCTAGACTATGATAAGCTCTACTGAAAATTTGACCACATTTCTTCAACACAAATATAAAGAGAAAATAAAAAACACATGAAAAGAGGTTATATGAATTTAAATAAACTTAAAAGTCATAATAAACCAGTTATTATGTATAAATCTAATTTCATTTCATTTTGAAATATTAGATCAAAGTTCAATTGCAAAGTTGGATATTTGAGGATTTTAAAAAAACTAATGATAATTACATTACACTGAGATAATGAATGGCATTAGAAGTATGTAAATTGCCCTGTCCTGGTAGCTCAGTTTGTCCAATATGCCAAGGTTTCGGGTCAGATCGCGGGGCAGGGCATGTACAAGGAGCACCAATGAATGCATGAATGAGTGGGACAACAAATCAATCTCTCTCTCTCTCTGGAGAAACAATCAAGTAAAAAAATGAAAATAGTCCTCCCAGATGTGGCTCGCCGTTTAGCATCGACCTATGATCCAGGAGATTGAGGATTGATTCCGGTCAGGGCACATGCCTGGGTTGCAGGCTCGATCCCCAGTGGGGGGACTCTCTCTCATCATTGATGTTTCTCTCTCTCTCTCTCTCCCTCTCCCTTCCCCTCTCTGAAATCAATTAAGACATATTAAAAAAAAAATGAAAATAGCCAGGCCAGCATGGTTTAGCAGTTGAGCATAGGCCTATGATCCAGGTGATAAAGGTTCACTTCCTGGTCAGGGCACATTCCTGGATTTCAGGCTCCATCCCCCATAGGGGGTGTGCAGGAGGCAGCCATTCAATGATTATCATTGATGTTTCTCTCTCGCCCTCTTCCCTTCTTCTCTCTGAAATCAATAGACATTAAGTAAATGAAAATAATTTTTAAATTTTTAGATAGATCTTCCAGAGAAAAAGTCAACACAAAAACAGTAACTCTAAATGGCACAATAAATCAGATAGATTTAATTGATATTTACACAACATTTCATCCTAAAGCTGCAGAATATGCATTCCTCAAGTGAACATGGGTCATTCTCAAAGATAGACCACATGATAAGACACAAAACCAGTCTCTACAAGTGCAAGAAGATTGAAATCATATTAAGCATCTCAGATCACAAAGGCATGAAATTAGAAATCAACTACAGTAAAAACACTCAAAAACATTCAAACACATGGAGCCTAAATAATGTGTTATTAAACAATGAATGAGTTACCAATAAGATCAAGAAAGAAATCAAAAACTTCCTGGAAACAAATGAAAATAAACACACAATAACCCCAAATCTATGGGACACAGCTAAAGCAATCCTAAGAGGGAAGTTCACAGCACTACAGGCCTACCTCAAAGAGCAAGAAAAATGTTTAGCAAACTATCTAACCCTACAACTTAAAAAATTAGAAAGCTCCCCTGTGAAGCCATCTGGCCGAGGGCTTTTGTTTGCTGGGAGTTTTTTATTACTGCTTCGATTTTCATCAGTTGTTATTAGCCTATTCAGGTTTTCTGATTCTTCCTGATTCAATTTTACATGATCTCACTCATATGTGGAATCTAATAAACAAAATAGACTGAGGAACAAAGTAGATCCAGAGACATAGAAGCATGGAACAGACTGACGAATCTCAGTGGGAAGGCAGGGGTGGGGAGTGGGTGGGGAGAGATTAATCAAAGAACTTATATGCATATGTGCATAACCCATGGACACAGACAATAGTGTGGTGAAGGCAGGGGAGATGGGTATGGATGTGGGGTGGAGGGGATCAATGGGGGGAAAAGGGGGATATTTATAATACTTTCAACAATAAAGATAAATTAAAACTCCATCTTCTTCCCTGTTTCTACTTCCCATTCCCACACAAAACATCTCCCAAGTGGAGATACAGATTGAGGAAAGACCAAGGCAGGCATTAAAGTTCCAACTGCTTTAGGGTTGGCTTTTAGGTCTGACCTCAGACTACCTGTATCATTGGGATGGGTTTTTTTAAAAACAAAAAACAAAAAACATATCTTTATTGATTTCAGAGAGAGGAAAGGAGTGGGAGGGAGAGAGGAACATCAATGATGAGAGAGTCATTGATCGAGCCTGCAACCCGGGCATGTGCCTGACCGGGAATTGAACCCCAATCGCCTGGATCCTAGCTCGACGCTCAACCTCTGAACCACGCCCGGGGTGGCTGGGATGGGTTTTTGATCCCCTATTGTTTCAGACACACATAGATCAAGGAAAATAACATTCAGTGTCAGTGTCTTTCAGTTTGGTGTCAGCATACACATAAATTTAGATAAATCTCTTGGAAACTCTGGTTTTAAACAATAAGAATTTGACACCAAACACTGAGAAATTCTACAAGAAGATTCCCACAGGCAGCTTCAGACCAGCACCTCTAGGTACTTTGTACTGCAGATATTATCACTCCTTAGGTCAGACTGGCATCACAGTATCTGTATTTTTAGCAAGCATTTAGATGACTTAGGGCAAGGATAATTGAGGGACCTAAACAATAA